GGTGGGAGTTGCACAACATGATTAATGTAATTGATGTCATTAAATTGTACACCTGAAAAAAAAAAGTTGAATTGGCAAAAACAAACAAAAAGGAAAGAAAAATATTTACCCACGTGGTAAACGAGGGGAAAAAAAAGAGTGGTTACCCCCGTGGAGGAAGAACAAGAGATTAGGGGAAGAGGACGTCTACTGTTCACCTCAAGCCCTTCTTCTGGACTGTTTTAATCTTTTCCTATGAATATCTTTTTTGTTATGATTTCAGAACAAAACCAAAACCAAAAGTGCAAGCCAGCCAACATCGTCTCTGTCTGAAGTGCAGTAATGGGGAATGGAGAGTCCCTCTAGATGCCCTGATGGCCTTGTAGAGAATTCTTGGAAAGTCAGTTCTGTGAAGTGACCTAACAGGGCAGAAGGTTCTAGAATTGGAATCTTCCATTTACCCTAAAATTGCTGTTTCTACAAGTTTGCCAGCTCCAGTCTTCTTTCTCTTTCCCCACCTCCTGTAGTTTAAATCAAACATTTCTATTTTTATATCACTTTACTTTTGTTCACTAGTGAACAAAAAATTAGATATGTCCTATCAGCTTCCAGAAATCTCTGGGTGGCTGGCGCAAGTGGTTTGCAGTAAACTACTGCGGTGCAGTGAATTACTTAATCTGGCCTTGTTAGCCATAGTCTTTGTGAGTCCCACACAATGACTGTGTAGGGCTATGCAAATAAGGTGCTTGTGGTCCACCAAGGGGATTGGACAGCTTGCTGCTAATGCAAATAAGGTTCATGGAACCCTGAGGGCGGTGGGACCATGCGAATAAGGTGTATGGAACCATAATGAGGGGATTGGTCAGTTTTACCATCCTGCTAGGGTTAAAAGAGAGCCAATCCCAGAGCAGGAGAGGGGACCTCACTACCATCAGAAAGAAGAGCTAGGAGTGGAGCACGTCCTTTGGAGATGGGGTCCCTGAGATTGGAACCTCCTAGACCCAGGAGACAGAGCTGTAACACTGGAGATGGCAAGAAGTGGCAGCAGAGAAATGGCAGCAAAAGAACCAGGAGACAGGCATGAGATGGCTCAATGTGCTTCCCGACCCACAGAGCAAGGCAGTTACAGTGGGTGTGCTGACCCATGGTATGAGAGAGCTAAGTGCCTTTGGGCTGAGGCTTACTGGCAGAGTGGGGTGCCTCCTGGCACTTACTGGCAGAGCTAAAGAGCTTTGTTAACACTTGCCCGAGCAGGGTGGAGGCCAGGCAGAGGAGCCCAGGGCCGGAGAGAGGCCTGCCTATGGTCACGGCTGAGAAGAGGCTGTCCTGATCAAAGAATTGTATCTTGAATTGTAACCTGTTACTTCCCTAGTGAACACCATAATCATCAGTATTGTCTATGAGTTCTGTGTGGCCATTGCAACGAATTATCGAACCCAGCAGAGTAGCAGAGAGTGCCATGGGAGGGACAGCTGGTGTCAGAATTTGTTAAAAATGTTGGAGGGTGGAGGTATGTCTGACCTCCACTTCATAGGAATCAGGCTTGGGTGATGCTGATGGTGATTCTCTCTCCGTTTTGTGAAGTTACAGGAGGTCAGATGCTGTTGCCCCCATGCCACCATTTTTATAACTACTAATCTAAAGATTGGCGATTCAAACCCACCCAATGGTTCTGAGCAAGAAAGGCCTGGTGATCTGCTTCCATAAAGATTACAGCCAAGAAAACGCTGATAGTTCTTCTCTGTAACACATGAGGTCACAGTGAGTTGGAATCAGCTCGACAGCACCAGGTTTGGTTTTTTTGGTTTATCAGCTTCTAGTATCATACGGTACCAAAGAGTCCTGGTTCTCACGTGGTGCTTCAATACCCTTATCCATCAAACAGGGATAATGCTAATTGTCCAACTTTATAGGGATATTGAAAGAATAAAACCAAGTAAAAGTGCCTTGTAATTAAATAACTTATTTAGTGCATTCAACATGGTGCTAGCTCCATTTGTAAATTCTTTTTAAATGGTATAGAAAGAAAAATATCTGGAGAAATATTTACAAAGCCGTAAAGTACGGTTTTGGTTATCTCATGATACCAGATTACAGTGGATTACATTATATAGGTTTGTAATATGTGAATGGATTACTTTTATAACAAGGAACAAAATAATGAAGCTACATTAAACAGTGCTCTTGAAGGGAGAAAATGGCATTTGATTCAACAGCAGTATTTATTGAACACATACTGCATGACAAGCTCTGTGCCTTGTTAGTGAATAAATTACACGTTAGCAAGCATTTCTCACAGCAGCACTGCCTGGGTGATGTCAGATGGTCTCCAGTCAGCAGGTCCACGCAGTGTTGTTTTGTGATAGCATCTGGTCTCCCAGGAAGGTGGCTGGGGGAAGCAGTCGTAGTTCTTCCCAGATGCCAGTGAAATGTTTTTTCACTGCCGAAGAATTTCTGTTCAAAGTCCAGAATGATTTCAGCCTGGGGCCTTTGATCATGTGGGTTGGTGGGAATGTATCAGACATCTGGAAGGCTTGGTAAACTCAGACTCTGGGCCTCACTCCAGAGTTTCTGGTTTCGTAGATGTGGAGTGGGGCTGAGAATTTGTATTTCTAACAATTTCCCAGGCGACACTGATACTGCTGGTCCGGGGACCCCACTTTGAGAACCACTGAGTTAGGGGTTCTCCCTACTGGTAACAACGTCTCCTGAGGTGCCTACTAGTCCAATTAGGTCCTTCTTACAGCTCCTGTGGGTTTAAGTGTCTTCATGAGACCTTCTTTCTTATTTGACAAGTATGTTTTTGAGTGCCTACTGTGTTCAAAAGGAGCCTTGGTGGAGCAATGGTTAAGTACTCGGCTGCTAACGGAAAAGTCGGCAGTTCAAATCCACCAGCAGCTCCACAGGAGAAAATACCTGGTGATCTGCTGCGGTAAAGATTACAGCCTGGGGAGCCCTCTGGGGCAGTTCTACTCTGTCACATGCTGTAAGTCAGAATCAGCTTGACAGCATACAACAACTCTGTTCAGTGGGGTGGAACTTTGCCTTCAGTTTTCTATCTTGGTAAAACGAAAGGAGCCCTGGAAATAAAGCAGGAGTATAGATAAGTATGAGACAAGGCAGTCAGTGCCGAGTGCTGGGATGTGGTGTAGAAAATAGAAATTGCAGGACCTTGGAAAGGAAAAGGGGGTGCAGATCACTGCCACTGAGGGTACCAGGGAAGGCAACACAGAGGGGAGTGGTTAAACCGAGCCCATAAGGCATGGGTGGTGGTTGTGTGTGTCTTTTGGGAGAGGGGACTGGCAGGGGTGGATCATCTAATAGGCAGGGTAAGCATGGTGCTTTTCTTGCTTACCAGATCATCTGTAGTGAACAATTTCACTTTTTTTCACCACATCAAAGAGTCTGTTTCTACATATTCCTGACATATCTCTCCCAACCCCACAGCACCTTCCTACGGAATCAAAGCCTCTTTTCAAATTTACAGTCCCTAACAGGGCTGGATGACCCAGTAAGCAGTATAAGCACGGGCTTACTTGTGCTCACTTACTAATCTGTAGTGAAATTGTTCATACAGATGATCTGGTAAGCAAGGTAAGCCTGGTGCTTATACTATTGGATATTCCACCCCTAGGGGCTGAGAGGGATGCAGAGATGGCATGCCTGGGGATGCCTGTGTTTTTCTTTTTTGTATTTGATTGCTAGCTGAATTACGTTTTTCAAATGATATTTTATTGTGTTTTTGGTGAAAGTTTACACAGCAGTTTAGTTTCCCATTCAACAATTTTTACACAGATTGTTCAGTGACATTGGGTACATTCTTCACAATGCATAGACATTCTCATTATTTCCGTTCTAGTTGTAATGTTTCCATTAATCTAGCTTCCCTGTCCCCTTACCTTCTCATCTTTGTTTTAAAGTAATTGTTGACCATTTTGTCTCATATAGATGATTTTTTGAAAGAGCACAGTACTCACAGGTGTTATTCTTTATTATGTGAGCCAATCTGTTAATTAGCTAAAAGGTGACCTTGAGTTTGTTTTGGTTCAAGGTTTAAAGAGTAACTCAGGGTAATAGTCTCAGGGAGTCCTCCAGTCTCAGCTGGTCTAGTAAGTCTGAATTTTTTAAGCATTTGAGGTTCTGTTCTACATTTTTCTCCCATTCTTTGAGGATCCATATATTGTGGCTGTGATCAGAATGGTCAGTAGTGATATCTGGGCACCATCTAGTTCTTCTGATCTCAGGGTAGATGAGGCCATGGTTCATGTCTTGCCCTCAATTTTATAAAACACTAAGGAGTTACAGGAAATGTAAAGCTTCCTTAAACTTTGGCAGACTTGGGAGATGGGAAGCTAAGTCTTGTTTGGGAGGGTACCCTAATGATATCTTTGGCTTCACCAAGAGCAACCGATTTTTGTTGTGTGCTGTAAAAACTGAAACCAAAACCATTGCCATCGAGTCAATTCCGACTCGTAGCAACCCTACAGGACAGAGTAGGACTGCCCCATAGGGTTTCCAAGGAGCAGCTGGTGGATTCAAACTGCTGAACTTTTGATTAGCAGCTGAACTCTTAACCACTTTGCCACCAGGGCTCCTGGCATATGATAGGGGCTCAAATATTTAATGAATGAAGTTGAACGAGGTCAGCAGCCAGGGAAACCCTATGGGGCAGTTCCACTTGAATGTAGGGCCCTGGTGGCCATATTTTCTCTTGTTTCTCCCTGTCTTCCCATCTCTTCCTCCTTCCTGATCACTCAGTACTTAGGACACCATGACCCCTATTATATGTGTCTTGTATCATCTTTTGGTCATCTAGGCAAGTTACTTTATGTCTGATCTTAAAAAAGAGCTTTACCTCCCAGAGGGCAGGGACTGAGTCTTCTATTTTGACAGCCCCATGGGGCTCTGCAGAGGTCCCATCTTGGATGCTCTGTAAATATTCATTGTCCTGAACCCCATGAGATTGGTGGCTGATATAACAAGCTCTTACCTACAGGCCCTCCCGCCTCTCCCCTCTCCAGGGCCAGGAGCTGACCATCCGCCAAATCTCCCTGCTGGGCTTCCGAGATCTGGTCCTGCTGAAGGTGAAGCTGGGCGACTTGCTGCCATTAGCCCAGTCCAAGCTGCCCTCGTCCATTGTCCAGATGCTGCTTATCCTGCAGGTGAGGCCCTGGTGTGGATGTGGCCTTATACATGGTCCCGACACCAAGGGAAGGAGGGAGGGGACTGCCACTTCGGGACAAGGGGAGAGGGACCAAATGACCACAGTGCCGGGAACCACCTTTGCTTACTTTAGTATTCTTTAGTTTATTAGTCTGTGTTCCTTGGTTCATTTGTTCATTTGATGTACATGCATTAAGTATCCTGTAGGTCCCTGGCACTGTGCTCGGTGCTGAGATCACAGTGGGTTGTGAAAGAAGCATAGTCCTGTCATTCAGGGAGTGGACGCTCTTCTCTCCAGTTACATCAGGGAGCTACAAGTTGCAAGGAACAACAAAAAACCCATTTCAGTCATTCAGGAAGTGGACACTCTTCTCTCCAGTTACATCAGGGGGCTACAAGTTGCAAGGAACAACAAAAAACCCACTTCAGTCTAGCTTAAGGCAGACCAGGAACTTTTTGGAAGGTTGCCAGGGCAGATGGGCTTCATGAGGGCCTGCTACCAGAAGCAAGACCATGTCAGGCAGCATGGTCTTGGTCTCTACTTATATCCGTCTTCCTTCTTTCTGTCTGTTAATGCTTCTCCTGGCCTTGCCTGGTCTTTCTAAGACTTGGTATCTCTCTCTGCAGAATTGTGTTCAGTGCTTTAGTTTGCACCTTATTGAACGGAGCATCCCACAGCTCATGTGTTTACATCTTTTCTACTAAGAGACTTTCTGGATACTTGCTTAGTATCCCTCAATCCCAATTCTAAATCAACAGTAGGAATATGAGTTAACATTTATTGGTTCCTAGCTATATGCCAGGCACAGTCCAAGTACTGTAAGTGTATTGTTTTATTAATCAAATAATCCAAACCACCACCTTATAAGGTGGGCATTGCTGTTATTTCCATTTTACAGATGAGGAAACTGAAACCTAAGAAGTGTAGGTGCTTGCCTAAGGTCTCTCCGCTAGTAAGTGTTAGACAACATTCTACTTCCTCCTAGCTTGGGGTAGATGACTCCCCTTTGCTCTGTCAGCTATAACCTTGAGTGGGATCAAGTAGTACAAACATAGCCTCAGCCACGGGTAAGCATGCGCAATTCTTAGAGAACTCTGCTCCCAGCTCTAACAAGATGATGCAGCATCAACTCTGAGCCCTTCCTCAGGAGGAAGGTTTCATCCTTGCTCAGGCTGGTGGTGACTCCACGCCGTCCTCACAGCAGGGATGGAATGCAAGTACGGAGCTCTGACCCCCGGCCCCCAGCGGCTGTTCTCCTCTGGCTCTGAGCTCGGGCTGTTGTTCTGGACATTCTCCTCCTTTCCTGTAGTGTCGGAGGAAGGAAGGAAGGAGGAGGTGTTGTCTAATAGATGAGGGTAGGTGTCATTGGCTGGAATGCCAGGTCAATTTTATAGAAGAGAAGAGGCGGGGTAGAAGAGAAGAATGTGTGCAGCTTGCATCTGCGAAGCATAAATTAGAGCCTGGATCTTGGATAAGAATCTAGAAAAGGAGCTTTTGGGGGTTCTGATAGGAAGGTCAGAAAAGGAGGGCTGGGCTTCCACCCTCCTATTTATAAATGTTTTGGGATGAGAGGTGATTCCTTTGGGGTGTTTGTTTGGAAGGAGAATTGATCTAGCCTGTCAGGTGAGGACTATCACCAGCTGATGGTTCCACAGGAGGACCTGTCTCTGTATAATGAAATGCACCTACCACCAGCCGACCTTTGTACTGCACACATAATATCCATTAAAACCAGTTGCCGTCGAGTCATTTCCGAATCATGGTGACCCCATGTGCGTCAGAGTAGAACTGTGCTCCACAGGGTTTTTAATAGCTGATTTTTTGGACATAGATCACCAGGGCTTTCTTCTGAGGCACCTTTGGGTGGACTCGAACCTCCAACCTGTTGGTTAGCAGGCAAGCACGTTATCTGTTTGTACCACCCAGGGACTCCACCTGTACGTAGTGGGAGGATAATCAGAATATGCTGACTAACTGCCAAGCTGGCTGTGGAGAGTTCGACTGACCTTTGTCTGTTTTGGATGTTCATTTCCAGAGTGTTCACGAGCCCACAGGCCCAACTGAGAGTTACTTGCAGCTGGAGGAGCTGGTGAAGCAAGTGGTTTCTCCTTTCCTTGGCCTCAGCGAGGACCGTGGCTTCTCAGGCCCCACGTACATGCTGGGTAAGGGCATTGCTCTCGGGTTGCCAGGAGCTTTCCAGGTAATGATACCAGCTCTGTACGTTTCACTGAGCACCGGGTATGTGCAAGCCCTTTGCTTCTGATGCGGGTCCCTTGCAAATCTGTGCATTTTAATCACTCACGGTCCCGCCTGTGTCCCAGTATCCTGCCTCTCAGGGATTCCTCCCCGAGGACTAAAACCGTGCCTCGGTGATAGTTGGTGCTTGTCTGATCTGCATCTCTGAGCAGTGGCTTGGATCTTTTTTGTGTGCTTGGGGGTTCATTTTCCTGTATTGAATACCAGAAACTGCCTTGACTGCACCCCTTCCCCCACTTGAGTGGAAAACCTGCCCATGATGGACTTCTCTCACACTTAGGAAGCAGCATGGAATATGCGGCCAGCGCAGGCTCACTGTGAGTGTGACCAGATGGTATTGAGCTGCTGTTCCTGCTCTGTTTCTGTAGGTTCTGCCAGGGCCTTGGCAGCAAGGAAAGGAGCTCCTGGCTTTGGGGACAAATCTTGTCGGGGGTTTCCTCAGTGACAGTAAAGCTGGCGTTAGTGAGTGCCAGGCACTGTGCTAGGCTCCCTGGAGAATCTAGAGATGAAGCGATTCTGTTCCTTTTCTCAATGAAATCAGAGATGAGACAGGTATATTGGTTTCCTCTGGCCACCGGAACAAAGTACCAAGTGTTTGGTACTTTGGGTGGCTTATAAGAATAGAAATTTATTGTCTCATAGCTCTGGAAGTGTCTTGGAAGAAGTACAACCAGAATGCTCCTTAGAAGCAAGGGTGGAAAGACTACATCTTATATATTTCGGACATGTTGTCAGGAGGGATCTGTCCCTGGAGAAGGACATCATGCTTGGTAAAGTACAGGGTCAGCAAAAGAGGAAGACCCTCAAGGAGGTAGACTGACACAGTGGCTGCAACAATGGGCTCAAGCATAACAATGATTGTGAGCATGGCACAGGAGCGGGCAGTGTTTTGTTCTGTGGTGCATAGAGTCGCTATGAGTCAGAGCCAACTCAACGGCACCTAACAACAACAACAACAGTTCTGGAAGCTAGGGGTCAGAAATCAGCTCCTGTGTTGATTCTTTCTGAGGGCTCTGAGGGAGAGTCTGTTCACGCCTGTCTCCTAGCTTCTGGTGACAGCCAGAGACCCTTGGCATTCCTTGGCTTGTAGCTGTATCACCCCACATCTCTGCTTCTGTCTTCACATAGGTGTCTTCCCTCTATGTCTCCCTGTCTCTATACCTCTTCTTCTCTTTATGGGACACCACTCATACTGGATTAGAACCCATCCTACTCCGGTATGACCTCATGCTAACTTAATTGACAACATCTTCAAAGACCCTATTTCCAAACAAGGTTACATTCACAGGTATTGGGGGTTAGGACTTCAACATATCTTTTTGGGGGACACAATTCAATCTGTAACATTGAGGGAAAAGCCATATAATAAGGCTTATAATAAAAGGCATTTCTCAGTTACACTTGAAGTGTAAACCCCCAACAGGCAGGAATTTTATGTTCGTTGTTCTAATCCCACAACTGGGGTGGTGCCCAGCACATAATAGGCACTCAAATATTTGCTGGATGGATGGCAGGCAATTGTAGCCCAAGGCCAGCACCACAGAGAGGTGCAAAGATGGAAATAGATCACTCAGATTTGGAACCTGTTGTCTCCTCTTCTCAAAGAAAAGGGAAAGAAGCAGCCTCCAGCGAGGTTCCTGCCCCTTCCTGGGGCCTCTCTACCACAGAGAAGGCAGGGCAGTCTGGCAGTTTTCTTGGGCTCGTTCATGTTTCTCTGGAGACACAGGTTTCACCACAGCCACCACAAACTGGAAGTGCTGGCCCGAGCCTGCTCCTTGCCAGATTCTTCTTCCTGCGTCTCTTGCTCACTCACTTATTCTACCCTGGAGCTGGAACAAGCCGGAGTTGAAATGGCAGCTGTAGGAAAATGGTCTCTGGCCCTCCTCAGGCCAGAGCAGCGGTGGTGGGGGAGGGGGGGTGGCATGTTGCCTTGGCCCATGTTGCCACTGCCTCCCCAGAGCTCTCTTTCCTGCTTCGGCTCACTCAACTGGCTCTGCTCACCTAGGTTAAGGAGACAGGATCCGGGCAGATGTCAGGACACCAGCAGGTTACCTGGGCCATGACAGGGACATCTCCACCGCCACCTGGACCTAATGCCAGAAACAAGAGTCAGTTTGGAAGTTTCTTCAGTGAGGACTTAACTCTAAGTGGGTGTCTTAGTTTCCTAGTGCTGCTGTAACAGAAATAACCACAGGGGGGTGGCTTTAAAGAACAGACATTTTCTCACAGTTCTGGAGGCTAAAAGTCCAAATCAGGGTCTCAGCCGTGTCAATTTCTTTGTAGTTGGTAGGCCTAGCCATTCCTTGGTTCCTTGGCTATCTTCATATGGCATCTGTCTTCCTGCTGCTCTTCATATAACTCGGAAGTGATTAGGTTTAGGATCCACCCTACACAGGTAAGACCTCAACAGATTGATTTATTATATTACATTAGATTGTATTATGGAAGGTGATTATATTAGAGTAGATGGAAGGTAATTTATATTACACTACATTAGATTATATCTACAAGTATCCTGTTGCCGTTGAGTTGATTCCGACTCATAGTGACCCTATAGGACCGGGTAGAACTGCCTCATAGGGTTTCCAAGGAGCAGCTGGTGGATTCTACCTGCAGACCTTTTTGGTTAGCAGCCAGGCTCTTAACCACTGCACTACCAGGGCCCCATCTACAACTGTAGGGGTTAGTATTCCAACTCATATTTTGGATGGCATAATTCAATCCATATCAGAGTGGACACCTTCCCCTGGCTTTCTAGCTAAAATAAGCATAACACACTTTTGTCAAATTACAAAGCAAAGGCCTTAGGTTTTATTCTTGGACCAAGAACAAACCTTGCCTGTGAAAGTTGTCTTGGCTGGAGGGGGATGGGGGGGGGGAGAAAGGGAAGGAAATGACCCTCTTGATTATTTTTTTAGTGATTAGTATTTCTACAGTTGTTTATTGAAACCCCATTCCAGGTACTTTGTGAGGTGCTGCAGATATGTCAGTGAACAAAACAGACCCATCCCTGCCGTCTTGAGCACACAGTCGAGTGGGGAAGTCACAAACAATAGGCAATGACTCAGCAGTGTACAGACGCTCTGAGCAGGGGAGTATGGGGCCACAGAGCCTGAGGCAGGGAGATTTCACCTGGACCAGGGAATCAGGGAAGGCTCACTGGAGGAAGTGACAGTTGTTATGGCACCTGAAGGATGAATACAAGTTAACTGTGTAAACAGAGATGGAAGACTATCCTAGGCAAAGGGAAGGACCTGTGGGAGGATTGGGGGAAGGGGGATGGGTGAACAGACGGGTGGAGGATTTGAGGAACTAAAAGAGCTTCAGAGTTGCTAGAGCAACTGGTGCAGAGTGGCTGATGGCAAGGGGACCCCCTAGACACAGACCATGTTCTGGGCACTGTACTGGGTGGGCTGGGTACCACGCCACAGAGTAGGCACTGTTCCCATTTTACAGGTGAGGTAGATGAAGGTTGTGGTCACTTGGGTATTGGCACCAGGATTCCAAAGCCCCAAGCTATTTACCCCTTACTAGCTGCCCCACACACCCCACCCTAACTCCACCCCACATCTGTCAACTGTTAGGAGGTGACTTTGTTAAGGAACAGGTGAGGAGATGGTCCTTCCCCTCCTGTTCCTTAGCCCATGAGGTGTCCCAGGCTAGGCATTTCATCCCAGGCCTGGATACTAAAGAGCTAACATGACCGCAATGGCGCCCTTCCTTACTGAGGACACCTGTCTCCAGATAAAGGATTCTCTGGACCTCAGTCGTCTCTTCAGCGCAATGGGGACAATAATGTGTATCCTGCACATGGGAGGGGGTGTTGAGATGACTGGCGGAAGTGAAAACATAAGGCAATGTGTTGGATGTGAGAAATCCCTGTATGCGTAAGAGGGCCCTGCCATGGTCCGCTTGGGGCCTTAGTGGGGTGGGAGTGGTCAAGGGCAGCTGGGAATATCACCTCAAAAGCCATCCCTTATTAAATGCCTGTCGCATTCCAAGTACTGACCAGGTTCTTGGCATAGCCTGCTGAGGGGTGGGTGCTGCTGTTACCTCAGCCTCAGAGTTGTTAAGAAACATCCCCAGGGTCACACACGGGTAGGTGACCAGAGCCAGAAAAGAAGAACAAAAACCAGTTGCTGTCGAGTTGATTCTGCCTTGTGACAACCCCTATGTGTCAGAGTAGAACTGTGCTCCATACAGTTTTTAATGGCTGATTTTTTGAAAGTAGATTGCCAACCCTTTCTTCCAAGGTGCCTCTGGGTAGACTCGAACCTCTAACCTTTCTGTTAGCAGCTGAGTGTGTTAACTGTACCATCCAGGGACTCCAGGGAATAGGTTTTTCCAGGGGGCACTACTCACCACCCCCAAGTGCCCAGCATGTTTGGCCCCATAGGGGTTCCTGGGAAATCTCTCTTCCTGCCAGCCAGGCTGTAGGGTTTAAGAAGTAAGCCTCACCCCCTGGATATGCAAGACTTGCTTCAAAGAGAAAAGATGAGTCTGAGGCCTAGAATGGAGCGTGTGTGCGTGCACACGCACGCCTGTGTACACGTGCACACGCGTGCATGCACTTTTCTAGGGTAATTGGAAGTGTGGGGGTGAGGAGAACAGTGAAATCTTTAAAAAAAAAAAAAAAAAAAGGGCACAATCTCCAGAGGCTGACCCACATCCTACCTTCCTAGTTCCAGAAGTTTCCCAGCTGTTGTCCTGGCCCTCCTGCGTGAACACTCCGTGCGCTTGATTTCTCCCACACAAAAGCCCTGGCCCCACACACGTCCCTCTCCATTGTGTCTCTGGGGGAGGGTCCTTTCCTCCTGCGCACAAGCGCCCCCACCACATACTGTAACCCCTCTGCATGACAAGGAGGCATTCATCAGCATTCAGGTGCCCCAGCCTGGAGACAGGCACCCACAGTGAGCTTGGTGTGCCGCAGGTCACAATGGCCGCATTATGGTGGCTGCTCGAGTGGGGCCTGGTCAGCAAGCCTGAGAGATCAAAGGCCTGGGAATCGAGTCCCCAACAAAGGACCTGAGCAATGCCTCATCCAGGCTTTGCTCCTCTTCGGGGGGTTTGAAAGGAGCTGGTGTGTTTTGGCTCCAGTGCAGGGGGATGAATGCCAGTGCTCAGCAGGGTGCCTGGTGAGTGAGGAAGGAATAAAGGCTCCCCCTCCCCGACCCGTGAGAAAGGCCAGGAGGAGGAAGTGGCCTGGATGTAGGTGTCAGAGAGGTGTTAGGACCCAGCCCTCTCCCTGCTAAAAGGGCACGGCTGCAGGGAAGGGCCTGTTTTTAGGCCCTGGCAGGCACCCGTCCCTCCAGTCTTAGAAGATTTTCTTCCCTGGAGGCAGGGCCTGGCCCTCCCTGTGCAAAGAAGAAAAAGAAAGGGAAGAAAGCAAGAAGCAACAGTGTAGGTGCTGTCCGTCAGCCCCAGGCCTAGCACTTGGTTTGGTTTGAAGGCCCCTGGGCCCCCCAGGGGGCCCAGCGGAGGCTGACGGCAATGGGATGCAGCTGACGCACTTGCCTGAGGGCTGGCTCTGGAGTCTGCTGGGAGCTTAGCAAGGAAACACTGTCTGCCCAGGGGACTCGGCATAGTTGTGCGGGCCCTGTGGTCTCAGTTCTGCCCACACCCAGGCTTGGGAACCAAAACATTCTGCCCAGAAAGCAGAAAGAAGAGCTTGTTGGCCTGTCCTGTGAGTCACTGACTGTGAACAACCCGAAGGAGAGAGGCAGAAGCAGCCATGGAAAGAGCAGGGCCTTCGAAACGTCAAGAGCTGGGCTTCCTCTGTGTGGCCTGGAGCAAGTTAGTTAACTTCTCTGAGCCACAGAGGCACAGGGAGACCCTGTCCTTCATTTAGGGAAAGCTACCAGTCTCAGGGCAGGGCCAGGCAGAGCTGCCACCTACTGTTCTAAGGGCCTCAGCCAGAGTCGGCCTTGTCCCCATGGAATCACTCCAGACGGGAAGTTGTGTGTGCCTCATCCTCTTCTCCGCCCCATCCCAAACCACATCCTGGCGCTTGCCACAGTGTGCTGCTATGGCCTGATTATGTGTCTGTCTCCCCCTTAGCTGTGAGCTCATTGAGGGCAGGGACCACGTTGCTCCCCTCTGTACCCCATCTCCTAGCATGGAGCTTTTCTGTGAGCGAGTGAATGAATGAATGAATGCATGCATGACCAGTTTGGGTACACTCTCTTGTCCATCACTCTCAAGGGAGCATGGCCCATCCAAAATGCCACCTCTTCCTGCTTGTCCGCCTCTGAATCCCCAGAATGCTCTCATCTGTACCTCTGTCCTGATGTTGGCCACCTCTAACCTGTTTTAAGAGTCATTTGTGGCCGAACACCCAGTGGTGATGAGCAAGATCTCTTCTGTCAGCCCTGGGCTTGGATCCTGCCTCCATTATTTGCTAGCTGTGACTGTAACATTTAACATCTAAGCTTCAGGTTCCCTTTCTGCAAAGTGGGCCCAGCAATAAGGAGTGGCCACTTTCTTTCTTTTTTTTTTTTTCCTTTTTAAAATATGAATGAAATCATGGCTGTGAAGCAGCTTCTTTTGGGTACAGTACGTAGCACATAGGGGACAGTGGTGGGTCCATAGTAGAATTCTACCCTTCCATGTGGGAGACCTGGGTGCAATTCCTAGTCTTCTGCCAGGCTGATTGTAGGGTTGGGACCACAACACAGGCTTCCCAGCAGCCAGTCTTAAGCGCTTGCTTTTAACAACAGCGTGAGAGAAATGAATTGTTTCAAGGGTGTTTTTTTAAGGATGCTTCTTTAATGGGGTTCTTGTTTCTTTGAACTCTTCCAGTGCTTCTGTTTTATAGTTATCGATTTTTCTGATCATAAAAGTAATGCGTGGTTATTGTGACAGTGTGGACCGTTACAGAAATGTGCGCGGCTTGGAGAGTGTAAGCACCCATACTTTATAGAGAGTCTCTGTTTTGCCTCCATAGATTCTCCCTTTTTTGTTGCCCCTTGGGGTTTTATCTCACAATCACCTTTCCCTAAAGAGGGAGGCAGATAACCCGCTTCTCCTGGACAGTACCAGCCTCTTGTCCTGCGTGGGGGTGGTGTTTGCTATTATCTGACCTCAGCGGGTGGCCTGGCAGTGCCCTGAGAGGCAGCAGGTGTGGGGCGAAAGTCTTGGCACCGACATTTAGTACCTAAGAGAACCAGGACTGAGTCTCAGTTTTCCTCCTCTGTACAGTAGGGATAATAAGGCCAGCCCTACCTGTTTTAGGACACTGGAACTAAACAGTGGGACAGTGGATGTGAACCCACTCAGTAGCCTCTGTTGTTGTTGTTAGGTGCCGTCAAGTTGGTTCCCACTCGTAGCGACCCTGTGTACAACAGAACGAAACACTGCCCGGTCCTGCACCATCCTCACAGTCGTGGTTATGCTTGAGCCCATTGTTGCTGCCACTGTGTCAGTCCATCTCGTTGAGGGTCTTCCTTTTTTCCCCTGACCCTCTACTTTACCAAGCATGATGTCCTTCTCCAGGGACTGGTCCCTCGTGATATCATGTCCAAAGTATGTGAGACCAAGTCTCCCAACCTTGCTTCTAAGGAGCATTCTGGCTGTACTTCTAAGACAGTAAACTCTAGATTCTACATATTATTACTTGGTTTTGAAAACCTGTTATTGTTACTGTCAAACAGTTCCCATGGGGCTCTGTGCAGGTAGATGTGGTGACTTCATCCTAAGGGTTAGGGTTCTACACTCTTATTGTTATTCTCATACATTCACGTATGTTTAGGGGGGCAGTAGTGGTTCCGTGGTAGAATTCTCCCCTCCCATTCCAGAGACCCAGGTTTGATTTCCAGCCAATGCATCTCATGTGCAGCCACCACCAGACTGTCAGTGGAGACTTTTGTGTTGCTGTGATGCTGAACAGGTTTCAGCAGATCTTCCAGATTAAGAGAGATTAGGAAGAAGGGCCTGGCAATCTACGCCTGAAAAATCAGCCAGTGAGAGCCCTACGGAGCACGGTTCTACTCTAACACACATGAGGTTGCCATGAATCGGTACAACAACATATATGCTCAGAACACTGTTACCCCTGCCTCTCTCTGGGAGTCCTACCACCCTGAAGGCTCGTGTGCAGTGTACAACCTGCCTGGCAAGTCTCCTGATTGTCGCCAGATGGAGATGTTTTCTTCTGTCTTCAAACCCCATACACTTGGCTCATCCTTCTCTCGAGGTACATAGCCTATTACAGCTATCTTTGTGCTTTGGAAGGGCAGCCCAGGAAGAGTGAGGATCTGGAGTGAGACAGACCCTGTTGGAATCCCAGCTCTACCACATTCGCTGTGTGCCCTTGGGCAAGTTGTTACCTCTGTGATCCTCAGTTTTCTCAGCTATAAAGTGGGAGCTAACAATATATCATGACTTAGGTTCTGTTTTTAGGAAGATTTAAAAGATGAATGCACACCAAAGGCTAGCTCAATCTCTGGAATGTGGTGAAGGCTAAAGAATCAGCAGTTTTGTAATAATTCGTGTTCGGCCTCCTCTTTGTGTCTGCCTCCGTGGGGCCAGCATGGAGCCTAGTCCATTCTCGGATGGTGCTAAAGGCTGTTGGAATCCAGAAGAATTGACTTGTACAGAATGGGGGCTTCAGACCATTGACCGGGCTAGAGAAGAAGGGGCATCAGTATTCTTGGTTTAGATGACTTGGGGGACAGCCCACTCCCCTGGCTTTGACACCTGAAGCTCTCCCCAAGTACCTCTTCCTCTGGTTTTAAGCTTATGAGGCCTCATTGAGTTCATTTGTTGACAGAGCAGAGGCCACAGCCTCCTGAATGGATCCAGAGGGCTTCTTTTGGAAGCTGACCCAGCTAGTGGCAGGTCTTCAGAGGGGACTGGTTGAAAGGGAATTTAGGGCAAATCCATTGAAGCTGCCACAGCAGCTGAGAAAGAGCAGAAATTCCCTTGAACTTAATCTATCGAGGAAAGTCCTTTGGTGACCTAATAACGGGGAGGAAAAGGAGTCAGGGCAGTATCTGGCCTAAGCAGACAGAGTTGCAAGAGAAACATTGAGACACCACCAAGCTCCTCTCTTGCGTTGTAAATGGAATTGTTTCCCTCATTTCCTGTTCAGATTTCTCATTGCTGGTATGTAGAAACCCAACGGATTTTTGCTTGTTAACCTTGTGTCCTGCAACTTTGCTAAATTCTTTTATTAGGTCTAGAAACTTTCTTGTGGACTCTGGGATTTTCAATATAGGACCATGTCATTCGCGAACAGAGATAATTTTACTTCTTCTTTTCCATCTCTTGCACTTTAGCAGGGCTGCACCTAAAACTGTTCATGAGGTTGAGCTATCACCTCCTTCTCCCCCAGACTTATACTCACCTACTAAACTTCCGTTTTGCTGTGTATAGGATCGCTATGAATCGGAACCGATTCAACAGCACCTAACAACAGCAACGCTAAACTAAAGGTTGATGGTTCAGATCCATCCAGCAGCACCACAGAAGAAAGTCCTGGTGATCTGCTTCTATAAAGATTACAGCCAGGAAACCCTTATGGAGCAGTTCTGCCATGTTAACGCTGAGTCGCCCTGAGTTGGAATTGACTCGAGAGCAGCGGGTTTTCTTTTGTTCTTTTGCCCCCTCCCTAGTGACAGCCTTTTCTGATTTTTCCCCTTCAGCCAGGCGGCACTCCAGGGTCCGGCCCAAGGTGACTCTTCTGAACTCTGCCTCCCCGATGACCACAGTCAGCCGGCCACTGAATGAGATGGTACTAACCCCACTGACGGAGCAAGAGGGGGAGGCCTACTTGGAGAAGTGTGGCAGCATCCGGCGGCACACGGTGGCCAACGCCCACTCGGACATCCAGCTGCTGGCCATGGCCACCATGATGCACTCAGGCTTAGGGGAGGAGGCCGGCAGTGAGGACAAGTGCCTGCTCCTGCCACCCAGCTTCTCCCCACCACACCGCCAGTGCTCCAGTGAGCCCAACATCACCGACAGCCCTGACGAACTGGAGGAGGTGGCAGGGGCCAGCCAGGAGGACGAGGAGCTGAACTGTGCTTCCCTCAGCTGAACGACTGCTCTAAGGGCGTCCCAGTTCCTGCTTAGTAACCAGAATGAGGATGACTCCATCCCCATGGACCACCAACGGGCTCTTTTTTGGGGCAGTGTTGCCCTTTTTCAGCCCTGGGGGACGTCCCTGGTGTAAACCTTTTCGTATTTGTAATGGCGACCATCTCTTTGAAGTGACACAGACCAAACTGCCACACAAGAACCAGTTGCCTAATGTTTGCCTTCTGACTGCCAACCTTACCTGCCTGGCTAAGGGCCTCATCTCTGGGGACTTTTCCCTCAGATATTGGACAGTCTGATGCTCACAGCAGTTTCCCACTGCCTTTGACATTGCTACAGCAGGAAGCTGTGCAGATCGCCCATAGAACCATCAACGATATGCTTTTTGGAGTCCTCTTTGGATTCCTTGTGGTAACTCCTTTCCCCTATTTTGTGTTAAGTGAAAGTAGACTGCAGCCTTTACCGAGCAGGACTCTGGGACGTGCGTTCTTTGTTTTAGTTTAAGAAGTACAGGGAAAGAGATGCCCATGGTGGATGAGGACTTTGGCTTTTGGCCCAGGAGGCACCGAGGCTGGAGAAGCTCTGTCTTATGTTAAGCCTCAGCACCTCCCCCTCAGGCTTCTTCCCAAACTCAAGGAATGAACCTTGGGTGGGGTAGCTGGTGCCTTAATCCCCCTCTCATTTCAGAAATTGACAGTTTTCTTATTGCGGGTGTGAAGGGCTGGTGGGTATCAACCACCTAGTCTGTTCCTGGATTTGACTTGAATTTTTAAAATGTGTATAGTTTAAAAAAAATAATTGTTGGCAAATATTTGCACGTAAAACCTTGCACTGTTCATTTCCAATGGGGTGTGTCCTCAGACAAACCAGCCACTCCCTGAGAAAGGGGACTGGAGGTGTAGTTCAGAGTGAAGTGGTCTGTGGAGGGCAGGGCTCATAGTCCACAGACGTCTAGAAGCAGCTGGTCTCAAATCCAGAATGACCTGTGTTTGTGAGTGTCCTGGTTTATAGAAAAAGTTGTATTGGGGGAGGGAAGCTCAACTTGCCTCCTGAGCAAAGGATTGTACCCAATGGAGTGTCTCGGTTCTTCACAGTGGGGTTTGATGGGGGATGTGTGGGCAGAACCTTTTGGAGGGGTATCCATTCCCTGTGATTAAAGAAGTACCCAGAAGTACCTGGAATTTCTAAAATGTGGGGCCTCAAAATGCTCTTGGGAGCAGCAGGCTTTGGTACTGTGCTGTGTCCTTCACACTGTTCCCTCCAGGTCTGGGGGCTTTTTATCCCCCTGGAATCCCTGTCTTCCTTTTTGCGTTGGTCTGTTGGCCCCACTGAGAGTGGCTCCAGAAAAAGAAGGCCCCCCTTGACCCTCCTGGCACCTTCTGGGGATCCTGTTAGTCTTTGGATGGGAGCCACCTTGGCTTCCAGTATGGCAGGAGGGGGCTGGGAGAGGGTGAGGATCAGTTTGAGCTGCCAGCAGGGGAAGAGGAAACCTTCTAAGCTCATCTAAGCCTGAAATATGACCATAGTTGTGCTTTTGATGGCTGGAAATTTGGAAATTTTGTTTTAAAATTGTTTTATTTTCATCCAGCTAAGAGAGTGAAGGAAGAGAAATGTCCAAGGGAAATCTCCTGAGAATTACAAACAAAAAAGTAATCTCTGTGTATGTGTTGAATAATGTCCAAAAATTGACTAATATGCATTAGCAAATGGAAAATCAGTAGGTAAGAAGGGGATGATTTCTTTAACTGATGGCTTCTATCCCTATTTATACACTTAGCACTTGAGACTCGTATTTATTGATCGAGGCAAAGTAATTCATCATCTTGGGTTTGCTTTTTTAGTTTAAAAGGTTAATGACGTATTTTTTTTTTAAATGCCTTTTCCATGTCCCAAGTGCCTCTGATGAGGACAGCAGTCATCAGTTAAATGTATAAGCTATCAGGTTGAGAACGGGAGTATCAGTATAGACCCAGCGTACTTAACTGCTGATGACTGTTAGTTTACAACTTTACCTTTCTGTACACACCTGATATTTGTGCAGGAAATATTTCAGACTGCACGTATAAAACATTTGTTGATGTTTATGGGCATTCTAACCATCAGAGCTACTACAAGAGTGATAACTACAGTATTTTTAACCACCTTTTCACTGCTTTCTGACACAAAGATTTATTTCCATTATTTATGCTAGAGTTTCCTGTGGCTGAGGTTTAATGACAGGAAGCAATCACGACTCTAAAGTCTGAATGAGCTCACAAGCCACAAACCGTCTCATATTGTCCGCCTCCAAAATGGATTCAATAAACATCATTTTTTACATGTTACCCTGTTCTCTTGATAAGTGCCTCCAGCATGTCTTGATTGAATTTGCGGGTGCAGCAGCTGAATTAAATCTTGGTGTGTCCTGTCCTCTAACTCTGGGCCTCCTTTTCCTGCCTCCAGCCCCCTTTTCCTGTTACCTCCACTCCAGAATTAGGAAGCAGCCTTAGTGCAGCCAGTCTTCCCTGGGATTTGTTTGCCATCCTGGACTGGACTGACAAAATATCATTTCCTGGGGAAACAGCCTGTGTGTGCTGCTGAGAAAATACTGAATAAAGCCTTTGAAAAGCCAAGGCCTCTTCAAAAACCAGCTTGGTCCCTCTTCCTGGAGTGTTTGATCTAGAGGGAACACTTCTCGTATGTACTGATGGACTATCTCCTCATACATTTCCTTACAGTTTTGTTTGGCAGAGAAAATTTATAATATTTTACTCTGCATAAATTCTCCTAGGTGCATGTTATGGATTGAATTGTGGCCCCCACGAAGATATGTTTAAGTCCTAACTGCCGGGACCTATGAATGTGAAATAGGGCCTTTGAGGATGTTACCGGTTAACATGAGGTCACACTGGAGTGGGGTGGGGGGAGGGGGGTAATCCAATATGAGAGTGTCTTATAGAAGAGGAGAAGGGACATAGAGGCAGACACCGAGGAAGATGGCCATATGAAGACAGAGGCAGAGATGGAGGTACACTGCAGCTGCAAGCAGAGGACCTCCTGGGGCTACCAGAAACTGGGAGAGACAGGAAAGGATCTTCGCCTAAAGCCTTGGAAGAGAGCATGGCCCTGCTAACACCCTGAATCTGGACTTCCAGCCTCCAGAATTGTGAGACAGTAAATTTCCGTTCCTATAAGCCACCCGCGTTGCAGTACTTTGTGACGGCGGCCCCAGGAATCTAATACAGTGGGCTATAGCAGCATCTGAAATGTGGAAGACAGCTCCCTGGCCAACCGACTGGACGAGATCCATATTCGTGCCTATTCCAAAGGTGACCCAACGGAATGTGGAAATTATCAAACAGTATCATTAATATCACATGCAAGTAAAATTATGCTGAAGATCATTCAAAAACGGTTGCAGCAAGCATTGTTCACAATGGCAAAAAGAAGGAAACAAACTAGATGCCCATCAACAGATGAACGGATAAACTATGGTACATACACACAATGGAGTATTATGCAACAGTAAAGAACAACGATAAATCTGCAAAGCATCTCATAACATGGATGAATCTGGAGGGCATTATGCTGTGTGAAATAAGGCAATCACAAAAGGCCAAATATTGTTTGAGACCACTACTCTAAAAACTCATGAAAAGGTTTACACCCAAAAAGAAACAATCTTTGATGGTCACGAGGGAGCGGAGGGGTGGGAATGGAAAAACACTAAATACACAGTAGATAAGTGGAAACTTTGGTGAAGGGTAAGACAGTACTTAATATTGGGGAAGCCAGCACAACTTGTAAAGGAAAGGTCATGGAAGCTCCATAGACACATCCAAACTCCCTGAGGGACAGAATTGCTGGGCTGAGGGCTGTGGGGACCATGGTCTTGGGGAATATCTAGCTCAATTGGCGTAACATATTTTATACTGGACTATAGGAAGAACTCGGCATCAGGATTGGAGGTAGACTCGTTAACAACCTGCAGTATGCAGATGACACAACCTTGCTTGCTGAAAGTGAAGAGGACCTGAAGCACTTAACTGATGAAGATCAAAGACTACAGCCTTCAGTATAGATTACACCTCAACATAAAGAAAACAAAAATCTCCGACTGCTCTAACATGGATCACAGTGGAGGATCCTAGACAGAGAAGAAGAATGTAGAACAAAATTCAAATTCACAAAAAACAGATTTGCTGGTCTGACAGAGACTACAGAAACTCTGAGCGTGTGGCCCCCGGACACCCTTTTAACTCAGTACTGAAGTCACTCCGAGGTTCACCTTTCAGCCAAAGATCGGACAGGTCTATAGGGCCAATAATAACACACATGAGGAAAGTGTTTTGTAGTTCAATCACGTATGTGGGACTAAATGGGAACATCGGCCCAAAAGCAAAGATGAGAAGGCAGGAAGGGACAGGACAACTGGACAAATGGAAATAGGGAACCTGAGATGGAGAAGGGGACAGGGTTGACACATTATGTGGTCGGCAACCAATGTCCAAAATAATCTGTGTATTAACTATTTAATGAGAAACTGATTTGCTCTGTAAACTTGCACCTAAAGCACAATTGAAAAAACAAATATCCTCACAACTGGACCAATAAGAACATCATGATAAACGGGGAAAATATTAAAGTTGTCAAGGATTTCATTTTACTTGGATCCACAATCAATGCCCAAGGAAGCAGCAGTCAAGAAATCAAATGACGCCAGCCCAGGGGCAAGGACTAGAAGGCAGGAGGGGACAGGAAAGCTGGCAATAGGGTACCCAAGGTTGAGAAGGGAGAGTGTTGACATGTAAGATTGTTAACCGATGTGATAAAACGATATGTGTACTAACTGTTTGATGAGAAGCTAGTTTGTTTTGTAAACTTTCATCTAATAAGTACAATAAAAAAGAAATCAAACGACGCATTGCATTGGGCAAATATGCTGCAAAAGATTTCTTTAAAGTGTTAAAAAGCAAAGATGTCACTTTGAGGACTAAGGTGCGCCTGACCCAAACCATGGTATTTTCAATCACCTCATAGACAAGTGAAAGCTGGACAATGTATAGGGAAGAGTGAAGAAGAATTGATGCATTTGAATTATGGTGTTGGCGAAGAATACTGAATATACTATGGACAGCCAGAAGAACGAACAAATTTGTCTTGGAAGAAGTACAGCCAGAATGCTTCCTAGAAGCACGATAGTGAGAGTTACATCTCGATTACTTTGTACATGTTGTCAGGAGGGACCAGTGCCTGGAGAAGGATATCATGCTTGGTAAAGTAGAGGGTCAGCAAAAAAGAGGAAGACCCTCAACAAGATGGATTGATTCAGTGGCTGCAACAATGGGCTCAAACATAGCAACATTTGTGAGGATGTTGCAGGACGGGGCAGTGTTTCATTCTGTTATGCGTAGGATTGCTATGAGTCAAATTGACTTGATGGCACCTCTGAAAACAAAACACAGCAGCGTGAATCTGAGACCTCTGAAGACTTAGTAAGAGCATTGGAGGAAGTGTGACCTCCACTGATTGAAAATCTGTGGGATGTAAAGAGAGTGTGTACATTTTTGTTGAGCCTTCATAGGTCATAACTATGGTAAACACTGAGCATTCAGCGCAGTAGGTTCCATGTCACTGGTGCCATTCCACCATATTTATCCATCCACTCATCCATCTGTCAAATATCTGTGGAGTTCCCACTGTGTGGGCACTTTTCTTGGCACTAGGGATACAATGATGGACAAATCACTAAGTGCCTGCTCTCTTGGAGCTTACAGTCTAGTCGGGGAGACTAGCAATCAGGTAAATGGAAGTATTTCAATAATGGAAAACATGGGTGAAAATAAAGTGCTAGTGACTACAGGATGATGAGAAAACACTTAGGGGTGTGGCTGGAGAAGATCTCTCTAAAAGTTGGCTTGAACTAAGACCTGGTTAACAACAAAGAACCAGCCTTACAGTTTGTGGTGGTTTCCTATCGTTGCCATAACTTAGTGGCTTAAAACAACACATTTATCTTACAGTTCTGTAGGTTAGGCATCTGACACAGGTCTCACTGTGTTGTTAGGGCTGTGTTCCTTTCTGTGGCTCTAGAGGTGAATTCCTTTCCTTGCCTTCTCCAGCTTCTAGAGGCTGCCTCCATTCCTTGGCTCATGGCTGACCTCCCCCATCTTCAAAACCAGCAGTGGCAGGTTGATTCCTTCCCACACTGCATCATTCTGATCTACCTCTGCCTCCCTCTTTTAAGGACCCTTGTGATTACATGGGACCCACCCAGATAATGCAGGATAAGTTTCTCCATCTCAAGATTCTTAATCACATCTGCAAAGTCCCTTTAGCCACACAAGGTAACTTATTCGCAGGTTCTGAGGACTAGGACGATTAGGACTTGGACATCTCTGGGGAGCCGTTATTTTGCCCACCCCACAATCCTCAGTTTTTGCTTCCCTTCCTGGTTACTCTTTGGTGGGTGGAAAGTTCCTGATAAACCATCTTTGCTGCTGAGGAAGCTCCTTGCCCACTTGCCCATCTGTGGGCAGTGAAATTGTAGGGCTTATGGGAAGAGATTGCAGAAAGCAAGATGGACAAAGAGGGTTCACCCTGTATTTGT